CAAGTGAGATTATAACCACAGGCATAGGGGTTAGGATTTACAACACGTACTCTGGGGGACAAAATCCAATCCATAACGCAACTAAAAAAAAAAAAAAAGACAAATAACCTAACTAAAAATGGACAAAAGATTTGATTAGACATCTCTCCAAATCAGATATAGAAATGGTCAATAAGCACATGAAAAGATGCTCAACATCATTAACCATCAGGAAAATGTAAGTCAAAACTACAATGAGGTACCACTTCACACTCTGTAAACCAAAACAAAACCAAATCAGTTACCATTGAGTTGATTCCGAATCATGATAACCCATGTGTTGCAGACTACAAATGTGCTCCATAGGGTTTTCAAGGCTGTGATCTTTCAGAAGCAGATATCCAGGGCTTTCTTCCAAGGCATCTCTGGGTGGATTCAAACCGTCAAATCTTTCAGGTAGTAGCTGAGCACTTCACTGTTTGTACCACCTGGGGATTCGATTTTTTTAGTAGTTAAATACAAATCTAATAACAATAACAGCGTTGTTGTTAGCTGCCATCGAGTTGCCCCCCAACTCCTGGAGGCCCATGCACAACAGAACACAACATTGCCAGTCCTGCGCCAGCCTTAAAATGAAGTACCCTATTTGGTCTCCAGCCTGCACTTAGAGACTCCTTGAGGAGGAACTATCAAGATGGAGGACATTTTGAGCACAGGGCAGAGAGACCAAGTAAAGACACCGGTCTCCTAAGCAGAGCTGCTTCCCAATGACTGAGAGAGAGCTGACTCAGACTGGGCATTCAGTGTCGTACAGCAAAACCTGGGCCATGCTTCGGTCTCACTAAGTGGTGCTGAGCTAGTTCCTTCACCCCTAGGCCAGTGTTCCGGTCTGTACAAAGAACGTTGGTCATGATGGCCTCAAGACTTCCCTGCTCTGATGTTCTATAATCCTGTTTGTCTCCTTTCACCCAGCTCCCTCGCCTGTAACACTCTCTGCAGATTTGCCACTTTTTTAAGATCCCTGTGAGAGTTGAACCAACCTCTAACGCCCCATCTGGAAAGCAACTCTGCCTATCGTTTGTTCACTCACTCATTCATTTATTTTTAAAATTTATTCATTGAAAGTTGTTTATGCACTCATTTAATTGTTCATTCCATTCATTCATTCCGCAAACATTCCTGGGCCAGCACTGGTTGGGGACTGGCCTGTGAGGGTGCAGCCATGGCCCTGAGCCACTTTTCCCAACTTCTCCACAGCAATTAAGATTTCTACACAAACTGTGTAATTGGGTCTTTGGGACATTCTCCCTAAGCACCCCCAAACTTTCTAAGCTGGGCACCTCCCCTCTTCTGCCTCTAAATTGCCTCAGGGATTGTGAAGTCCCCTGGTGCACAGGGCACTTTAAAGGCAACTCCTCCATCTGGCCACCTACTCCCCGGGAGGCTCTCAGCCATGATGGAGGTGAGAGCTGCCCAGCGCCAGGGGTCTTGGCTGCCCACAGTAAACTAAACTAAACCACTTGGTGTTGTGTCCAGCCTGGAGCCTGCCAGGATTTCCAGATTTGACCGAAACTGAAACCCTTCAGAGTGAACTCTAATCACTTTGTATAATTCCACGAAATTCTAACAGCTCTACTGAGGTCTATCAAATTCTACCAAACACTTCGTGAATTCTAGGAAGACTTATGCAAATTTTCACAGTTTGGAAAGTTGGGTCAGCAGAAACCCAATGTCCTGCCCACTGGCCTGAGTTCCCGAAGCTCTAGCTAAAGAAGAATGTTCCTGGTCTCAAAACCTCTGAAACACCCTCCACAGAGCCGGCGGCATGGATTCGGAAAAGCCTGAAGGTGAGTGAGAAGTGGGTCATAGGGGGAGAGGAAGGATCTCAGGCTGGGGGTAAGGAGGCCTGGGAATTATTGGGGCTTGGGCTTCCCTCTCTGACTCACTGTGAGATGCTGGGCAAGCCCCTTCCTCTCTTGGGGGCTTAATTGTCCCATGTATAAAAAGGAGTAGTCTAGGCTATCTCTAAGACCCCGCCCTCCTGGCTCTGCCAGGGTGTCATCTAGGCTGGGAAGAGCCTGTTTGGCAGCTTGCTGCTCACTCTCAGTTTGCCTTAGCCCCAGGAGCCAAAGCAAGACAGAGGGAGAAGCTGGCCATGGCCAGGCCAGGGACACAACTTGCCTTTCAGAACCTGGGAGAGGAGCAGAAGGGAGGGGGCATCCCTTCAGACTGGCAGGGCTAGGGCATGGGCAGAGAGTGAGGAGGGACGTGAGCATCATCCTAGTGGTGCAAACAGAGGACCATAGGAGAGAGGGCTCAGGGTGGCCTGAGGGGACACAGGAAGATACCTCCCTGGGGTACCTCTGTGGGGAGGTGGCATTTGAACTTGTTTTTAGGTAGGATCTGGCCAGGGGAGAGGTGAAGGCAGAAAGGACATTTGGGCTCTGCAGACAAAAGCTCCTGGGTCTGCTTTAGGGACCAGCGTTCCACAGCATCCAGTCACATCTCCCCACTCCCGGGACCCCATCCCCAGATGAAGGAGGGAAGGCACAGCAGACACTCAGGCTGGGAAGCAAAACCAGTCTGGTGACTTTGTCCCTGCTCAGAGGCTCCCTCATACTCCTGCTCATCCTGGACAGTTTGCTCCCTGCCCTCAGGGCTGCTCCTTCTCTAGTGACACCTCTGAGGTCCCTGGCTGACCATAACCTCTGCATGCCCTCTCCCGTAGAGAAAGACTCCTGCCTGGTCACAGGTCCAAGGGTCTGCACTAGTGGTTGTCGGTGCCAGCTATGTGTGTGTGGTTTGTGTGTATGTGCATAAGAGAGAGGGAAAGTGAAGTGCCTGGTCCCTAAGGGCATACACTCAGGTTAATGACCATACATATACACACAAGAGCCTTACGTGTAGCATATATACTCCTAGGCACGTATGTATCTGTATGTCAAGCAGGTGTTTGTGCACACGTGTATGTGGGTCCATATGTCTGTGACCCTAAGTGGGTGTATATACGTTCCAACAAGTAGCCCATGGCTGCAAATGTTGTCTAGTGACTTTAGGAAATAAATTACAGTCTGTGGAACTGTGCAAATAGGAGGTTGTGACTAACACAGCCACCGGGGCTGCAGGGAAAGCATGATGCTGCCTCTGTGTCTGTCCCTGCTGATGCTCTGTGAAATGGAGGTGCCTGTCCAGGAACCCAGCCTCAGAGTTTCACAACTAAGTCTTGGGGGAGCTCGCAACTAACTCACCTCAACCCCACGGTGACTCTGGACTGAGTAATGCTGAGGAGAGACCTTGTACTAAGGCCCCAGGGCTAGCTCAGAGCCCTCCTTGCTGCAGAAGTGGCCCTTAATTCTCTGTCGTAGGACTTCAGTGCAAAGGACTAAGCTCTCTGTGCCAGGAAGGAGTGGCTTAAGAGGCCTGTCAACCTAATAGGGGGTAGAGGCCCAGTGAGACCCAGGGAGACTCCATATGAGGAAGGATTGTAACCATCTGCATGGCCTAACAGCTAAAAAAAGAAGAAAAGTCTAAGGGAATGATGAGTCTCCTGTCACTACAGGCGTGCAAGCAGAAGCAGGAGGAGGCTAGGCATGGAAGAGTGGAGGGAGATCTTCATGAGATGGCTTTGATTCAGTAAACTGTGGGTACCCCTGCTCTCATGTGCTCTTCTAATGCCTAGCATAATGCAATAACTTCTTGATTCTGAAATAAACAAGTGAGAAATAAAGGAAGGAAATGGTTTCAGGCAAGTGAAGCACTCAGCCCAGGCCCAGAGTCTGGCACTGCTCCCCCACGGGATTATCTGGCACCATGCCAGGTTCCCCAAAACACTAAGAAGAGGTTGAATCATGCTCCTTAGCTGGTAAAAGAATTATGGGAAGGACATGGGAGAAAGAGGTCCATCTAGTTTAGGCAACATTTGGGGATATGGAGGAAGTAAACATCTACCCTGAGCATAGTGTATATGTCCCACTGCCAGGAGGACTGGATTCTAGAATCAGCTGGCCAGAAACCCACTGTTTGAACTCAGTTTCCCCATCTGACAATGGGAGATTCAACAGCTTGACCTCTCAGGATGCTTTCCATGCTGATGCCCAGAGAACACAAGAGGACTGACAGAGGCTGGAAACAGATTCTGAAGGTTCAGTGCACACACAGTGACTGAGGGAGCAGGCCCTATGGGAGGACAGGTGACGAGCCAACCTATAGGTTCGGAGGTCAGCAGCCTCTCTGACTAGAGGCATGATGTATGCTTTGTGCATGGAGACCAGGGCTGGCCTGAAGAGACAAGTCTGATTTCTGTAGGCTGAGGGACAAAGAAGGGCATTCCTGACAGTGGGAACAGTGTAAGCAATGGCTCAGAGGCTTCCTTAAAGCCAGGAAGATCCTCAGCATCCCACATACCTCCAGGTATGACACTTTGAGGACCAATGAACTAGACCAGCAGTATCAGCATCACCCAGACCTACTGAGTCAGAAACTCTGGGATGGAGCCCAGCAATCTGTGTTTTAACAAACTCTCCAGGAGATTCTGTAGCAGCTCAAGTGTGAGGACCTCTATTCCAACCCATTGTTTCCCAAACTGTGTACTTAGACCACTGATTGGCAGAAGAATAATGGGGTTCTGTGAAGGAGAATCCATGATCGTATAGATTTGGAGAGCACACCATACTCTACGTTGCTTTTAGAGAGTCACAAGCATATTAAAGGCTCTGGGAAGTCCTGCAGTATAGAGCTTGATTTACTTTTGATCAATCCAGTGTTTCCTCAAATTGATTTTTCAGATTGCCTACTAACATTTCACACTAAAACTCTCTTAGGAAAATGCTGATTTAAATCAATCCTCCTTATTTTTCAGATGGATAAGCTGAGGCCTAGGAAGGATAGAGGACAGGCTAAAGTCACAGAGCTGGAAAAGAACCTAGCAGTCTACCTCCTCCCAGAAGAGGCTTTGTGAGCTTCATACGACTCTGCATCCTCTTTCCCTCCTTCGCAGCGTGTGCCTCTCCAAACCCTGCAGCATGGAGGTGCTCAATAGGACAAGGGTCTCTGAGATCTTTCTGAAAGGATTTTCTGCCTACCCAGCCCTAGAGCACCTGCTCTTCCCACTGTGCTCAGCCACGTACTTGGTGATGCTGCTGGGGAACACAGCCATTGTGGCAGTGAGTGTGCTGGATGTCCACCTGCACACGCCCATGTACCTCTTCCTGGGCAACCTCTCCATCCTGGACATCTGCTACACATCCTCATTTGTGCCCCTGATGCTGATCCACTTCCTGTTGACCCAGAAGACCATCTCTTTCATCGGCTGTGCAGTTCAAACGTGTCTGAGTTTGTCCACGGGCTCCACAGAGTGTCTGCTGCTTGCCATCATGGCCTACGATCGCTACCTAGCCATTTGCCGGCCACTGCAGTACCCCGTGCTCATGAGCCACCAGCTCTGCTTGTTGCTGGTGGGAGCCTCCAGGGCCTTCTCTCTCTTCAAGTCAGTGACTGAGATGGTTATCGCCATGAGGCTGCCCTTCCGTGGTCACTACGTGGTCAGCCACTTCACTGGCGAGATCCTGGCAGTTCTGAAGCTGGCATGTGGTGACAAGTCGGTCAGTGAGGACTTCTTGCTGGCTGGCAGCATTTTGCTACTGTGCATACCCCTGGCACTCATCTGCCTCTTCTACAGTCTTATCCTCGTCACCATTCTGAGGGTGCCCTCAGCTGCCGGGCGCCACAAAGCCTTCTCTACCTGCTCAGCGCACCTGGCTGTGGTGGTGCTCTTCTATGGTGCTATCATCTTCATGTACATGAAGCCCAAGAGCAAGGAGGCCCACATCTCTGAAGAGGTCTTCACAGTTCTCTACGCCGTGGTCACACCCATGCTGAACCCTGTCATGTACAGCCTGAGGAACAAGGAGGTAAAGAGGCTACAAGGAAGGTGTGGGGCAGGATTTGGACCTCCAGGTGAGGCAGGGCAGGACTCAGCATCAATAGGGGTCTCAGGTTAGTAGGTGAGGCCATCATCTGCCTTTAGTGACTCTGGGATGGGGAGCAAGACCATGAGTCTAGTGTCTTTATCCCAGAAAGTCCCCAGAAGGTGAAACCAAGTCCTACTGACCCTGCTACAGAAATAGTTCATCAGTGGGCCCTCTGCTCCTTCTTCTGGCATTGCCCTAGGCCAGCTCTCAGCATCAGTCCCTGAACCTTCACACCAGACTCCTGGCTGGCCTCAAGACTTCCAATCTATCCACCAGAGAGATTTTTTTAAAAAATCACACACCTTCGAATCATCCTCCTAATGGAACTATAAGTGGCGCCCACTGCTCTAGGATAAAGTATAAGCTCTTTGGTGAGCACTCAAGGCCCCACAAGCTTTCCCTGCCTAGCGAACTTCCCAGCCTTCTGCACCACAGTCTCCCTTCTCATACCACACCCACCAGCCAAATGTATGCCTTGGTATCCCCTTCACCACCCACCTCTGTGCCTTTCTTGGGCTTTCCCACAAGGCAATCTCTCCCAGCACATAACTACACAGACAAAAGTACTGTCTGACCTTTAAGTCTCAACTCAAATGCCTTGAAGGCCCAGCTTAAATGCTACCTCTACCAGGAAGCCTCCCCAGTTTGTTCCTCTCATTGTGCTCATCTTGCTTTATTTTCATTGTTATTCCAGGAGCAGGGAGCGTCAGGTTCCACTCTGTCCCAAGCTCCAGCCCTGCCCAAACCCAGACCCTGCACACATTTCTTCAGTTAACAAAGGAGCACATTAATGTGGGGGTGATAATGGCAGAGACTGGAGTCCTTCCCAAACCTGAGTAGAACTGGGATGGAGTTCCCAGATGGCAGGCGCAGCCTAGCACCCTGGGAGTGATGAGGCCAGAGTCCATGATTCCCAGATCTGTCCAGCCCCTGAGATACCAATCACCCAGATCATCTAGGGTCTGGCCCACCCTCATGCCTCCTTTGTGGCAGCAGTAGCTTTCAGTGCCCCTTCCTGGCACCCAGGCCTAACCTAGCTTTGGTGAGGCTTGCTGTATCCTTGCTCACCCCACTCCCTGGGGTCCTGCCATACCTAGCCCTTCCTAGTACTCAGCCTTTTTCCAGCTTACTTTCTGAAATCTCACTGAACACACAATGGAAACAAACTCTGGGGCCCACATTCATAGAGCACTTCTGTTCTCTGCACCCTCTGGCCTCAGTGGCACCATCTGTATGATGGGAGAGCTGGGCTTGGCCTCCCAGCTGCAGTCCAGCTCTCCTGATCCCTGGCTGCATGGGTCCTCAGTTCCCCTCCCAGGCCCTCTTCTTGCTTCCTCTGTTGGTCAGAAACAGGCCCAGCGTAAGTACACCAAGGGCACAGAGGAGCACAGCCTGCTCTCAGCAGTTCCCAGCTGAGGGGAGAGAGATACACAAACCTCTCCGATCAAGCCAAAATGAAGGCCATCAGCCAGCTGTGACCTTCTGTTGGGACCTGAATGCCATGACAGGATTTGGACTTAATCCTGTGGACATTGGGGGTTTACATTCAGATTTGCTTTTTAGAAAGGTCACTGATTAAACACCAGTCTTCACCCATGAATTTGGTGGAGAGCTTTTTTTTCATATAACCCCTTTCGTCAGTTAAGGTGCAGTGAAATAGGTGATGTCTTACACTGCTGCTGGAGATGGGAATAAATTAATATAAACTTCCTGGAAAGAAAGTGGGAAAATTAATCAAGAGCCTTAAAAATGCCCAGCTCCACAAAAGATAATGAAGGAGGCCAAAGACTCAAAGAAGAAACTAGTCCACAGGACTAATAGCCCACACAAACCATGGCCTCTTCTAGCCTGAGACCAGAAGAACTGGATGGTGCTCAGCTACAAGTACCAACCATTCTGACCAGGGACACAATAGAAGGTCCCAGACAGAATGGGAGAAAAATGTAGAATACAATTCAAATACCTAAAAAAGACCAGACTTACTGGATTGATAGAGACTGGAAGAACCCCAGAGACTATTGCCTTAAGATACCCTTTTAACTTGAAACTGAAGCCACTCCCGGAGGTCACCTTTCAGCCAAATAATAAATTGGCTTATAAAATAAACAATATCACCTGTAAGGAATGTACTCCTTTAAACAATCAACTATAAGAGACCAAATGGTCAACATTTACCCAAAAGCAAAGATGAGAAGGCAAGGAAGGGCAAGGAAGCTAGATAAATGGAAACCGAACAAACAGAATGGAAATAATGAGAATACAGACACATTGCAAAAATTGTAACCAATGTCATGGAACAATTTGTATAAAAATTATTAAACGGGAACCTAATCTACTGTGTTAACTTTCACCTAAAACACAAAAAATATATATATTTTTAATTTTCCAGCTCCTTTGACCTACCACCTCTATTTCTAGAAATCGAGTATAAGAAAATAACTAGAGATGCAATAAAAGATATATGTATAAGGATATTAATATCAATATTTTTCATAGTTAAAAAAAATTTTGTAATAACCTGAATGTCCAACCATAGAGAAATGTTTAAATAAACCCTAGTGGGGACCAACCACACAACTGAAGCAGCCATTAGAAATCCTACTTTATGAAGCGTATTTGATGGTGCAAAATACTCCTAATGTAATTAGTTGATAAAAGCAGAACACTGAACTTTGTATTCTGTGTAATACCAATTTTATTTTTTTAAGTATTTTCCTTATGGATATATGAATAAGTATGTATGTAGAAAATGCTGGAAAACTGTGACAAAATATTAACTAACAGTTGTTTCTTGTGGGAGTAACCTTACTGGTTACAGGTAAGTACTGTTTCTTCACTATTATTTTCAATATTGTCCAATTATTCTAAAATGAACACGCTCTGAACTAAAAAATATATATATTCATTTTTAAGAAACGGCTCCACCCTGACTCCAAGGTGGAGGATGGTTTAGAAGGGCTCCAGACTAGGGGGGAAGTGAGGAGGCTGTACAGTAACCCAGGCAGGCTATGAGCCCTGAACCAGGTGAGGTGGACAGGAGAGAGGGTGGAACCGAGAAATAGTTGGGATATACAGATGGTTACGGAAGAGGGTGAGGGAGAGAGAGGACTTGGGGTTGATGGCCTGATTTCTGGCTTATTTGGGTGGAGAGTGGAGCCACACACTGAGATACTGAGATGAGGAACACGGGAGAAGCTTGGGTGGGGGCTAAAGATAATGAGTCTTAGACATACTGAGTTCAGGGCACCCGCGGGGCAGCAAGAGGGCACTATTCTATGAGCAGTTGGAAAATAAATGATAGCAATTTTCCAATTTTTACTTTCTTGATAAAAATTTCCAAAAGACAAATCATCATAATGTGGTAATTTGCAGCTTCTGTTGCTTTATTTAAAGTCAATTTGTAGTCCCTAAACTGTGTCAGTTTGTTATTCTTCGTGTAAAGAGAAAAAAGGGAGGAAGAAAAGAAGGAAGGGAAGAGGGGGGAAAGGGGAGGGAAAGAAAGAGGAGAGGGGAGAGAATGGAAGAGGAGTGGGGATAGGGGAGGGAAAGAAAGAAAGCTTTCATGAATCCAGTTCCTCAGAGCAACCCTGGAAGGAGACAGGGAAGGATTTTCTCACCGCATTTCACAGCCTAGGACACCCAGGCCCAGGGAAGAGAAATCATGGGCCCCTAAGCCTGTGGCATCCTAGGGGTGAAACTGGAACAAGAGCCAGTTTGTAGATTCTCTGTCCAGCAGCCTCTCCTCTGCCCACCTCATCCCACCAGGGCCCTCCTGGGGCTGAGCCTAGAGTCTCTGAAGCCCAGGCCCACAGCTGCCAAACCCTGAAACTTTGTGTAGTTGCAGAGTTTGAACGTTAAATTGGGCAGGGACCACGAGGTCCCTGAGAGCAGAGAGCTGTGTCTGTGGCAGGGGACCAGGAGATGGTCCTGGGGGTCTCTCTGCCCCGGCCCAGCACAGCCCAGTGTGCCTGCTGGCGATGAGCTCAGCACTCCCCCTCTGCTCTCCCAACCCTCCTGGTCAGCTCACCAGGCAGCCATCTGCAGCCACCTGCATGCACTTATGCCACTGGGCAAACAGGGAGGAGGTAAAGAGCAGTCATCTAGCATGTTAATTATTCTCATGAAATCTTTTTTAAACATTTAAAAACCAAAATGTTTGCTTGGAAGAAGGGACATATGAATAATTATAACAGTTACCAATTAGTGAATGCTTATCTTGTGCCAAGCTCTGGGCTGAGAGATTTACAGGCGTTATTTCACTGGATCCTCAAAACAACCCGATAAGGAAATACCATCAACATCTCCATGTTACAGGTAAGGAATCTGAGCCTCAGAAAATTGCTACCAAGTGGCAGAGCGGGGACTTGGACCCTGGTGAATCAAACTCCAAAGCCCACACTCAACTACTCTGTGTCACATCAAGGAAGTGGTGAAGCAGGAATCTCAGATTCAGGCATCTCAGCAAAATTGTAACAGAAGCTTTCTTCTTGCTATGCCTCCCTTTCTTTTAAAATAATCTGTGAAGCATAAAATAAATATTAAATGACTAAAACTAGATTTACCAGCCAGTGAAACTGATATTTGATATTAATCTTGCAAAGCAGCCTCAGGGTTAGAAGTTGCTAGAAAGATGTGAGGAAATGTTTCCGAGGTTACAGAGTACCATTGTGGTTGTTGTTAGCTGCTATCGAGTCGGCCCCTGACTCACAGTGATCCCTTGCGTAACGGAAGGAAACACTGCCTGGTCCTGTGCCGTCTCCATAATCAGTTACTGATCAGACCACTGTGATCCATGGAGTTTCCATTGGCTGATTTTCAGAAGTAAATTGCCAGGCCTTTCTTTCTAGTCTGTCTTAGTCCGGAAGCTCCACTGAAATCTGTTCAGCATCATAGCAACATGCAGGTCTCCACTAATAGTCAGGCGGTGGCTGCACATGAGGTGCATTGGCCAGGAATCAAACCCAGGTCTCCCACATGAAAGGCAAGAATTCTACACTGAACTACCAATACCTCACACAGAGTACCACAGACCACCTAATTGAATGTCTTCATTTCATAGAAGGAGAAACTTGACCAAGGTCATACAGCAAAACAGGAACAAAGGCAAGAATCAAACCAAGTCCCCTCACTTCCAGTACAGGGCTCATTTCATGGCATCACCCTGCTTCTAAGAGATGTAAAACTGGGAGAGTGAATTTGTTTTCAGAGACACTCAATGTCCTATCACTCCATGAACCTGATTTTCCAGGACATTTCAGAGTGTGTAACATTGGCAGATAGATGCCAGAGTAGCTTTCTGAGTACATTGTGAAACTCCATTGTACCCAAATATAAAGGGCATTAGTGCTGACCTAAGCCATGTTATTTTCAATTGCTTCATATGCGTGCAAAATCTGGGCAATGGGCAATGAATAAGGAAGACTGAAGAAGAGCTGATGCCTTTGAATTACAGTGTTCTCAAAGAATGTTGAATATACCGTGGACCCCTAGAAAAATGAACAAGTCTGTCTTGGAGTACAGCCAGAATACTGCTTAGAAGCGAGGATGGCAAGACTTGGTCTTACAGACTTTGGACATGCCATCAGGAAGGACATCATGCTTGGTAGAGGGTCAGCAAAAGAGAGGAAGACCCTCATAAGATGGACTGACACAATGGCTGCAACAGTGGGCTCAAACATAACAACAATTGTGAGAATGGTGCAGGACCGAGCAATGTTTCCTTCTTTTGTACATAGAGTCGCTATGAGTTGGAACCAACTCTACAGCACCTAACGACAAGTGCTGCTCAGCAATAGTTCTGGTTCTCCGCCATCTGGGCATGAGGTAGGATTACACACGGCCAGGGGTTGTGGATAGATGTGACATGTGTCACTTCCGGGTCAGAGCATTTAATTACTGATACGAGATGCTCCAGTGTGCCTTCCCCTGCCATAATGATTGGTGACATTTCAGACAGTGAAGCCTCAATTATCCAGAGACCCTAAGGAAGACAACACAGAGCAGAGCCCCCAGAAAACCCAGAGTGGACATGAAAGCATGTCATTTTAAGGCTCTGAGATTATGGGACTGTGTGTTGCTGCAGCAGGACCTCACCCATCCTGACTGACCCCAAGAGAAGAGCAGCTGCTCCCTGATGTCCCAGCCTATGTCCGTGCTGGCAGAGTTGAAGCTGTGGATTACCTGGCAGCATGGTATTTTCTAGACACAGATTGATTTAGTTGGAGGTAGAAGCCTGTGGCCTTGTAAGCTCGTTCTAATTTCTATGAAATTGTTATGATCAGACTCTTGAATTTGTGAAGAAACCCCACTGTGGTGCCATAGATCGCTTTTGTATGGCCTTTCTAGCCATGGTCTTGTAACTTCCACCCAAGTGATTGGGTGGGACTGTGTGATAGGGTAATTGTGGCCCACCAAGGGGACCGGTTAGTTTTGCCATCCCACTGGGCTTGAAATGAGCCACACCAGAGGTGGAAAAGAGAGAATCCCACCACCACCAAGTAAGAAGAGCCAGCACGTTCTTTGGGCCCGGGATCTCTACTCTGAGAAGCTCTTGGAAGCAGCAGACTGAGAGAGCAAGCGAGCTGTAACCCTGAAGACAGTGAGAAGTGGTGGCAGGAAAGACCCAGGAGAAGAGACCTAGCAGCAGAGACTTGGAAGCAGGGACCCGGCAGCAGGAGACGGTGCGGTGGGCTTCCCAGCCCACAGAGCTAGAAGGCTGAGTGCCTTTGGGCAGAGACCTAGGGCCAGGGAGAGGTGAGCTGAGAATACAGCTGAAAAGAGGCTCTCCTGATGGAAGAACTGTATCCTGAGCGTCCCTGAGCTTGAATTGTAACCTATTAGTTCCCTAATAAACCCCATAATCGTGAGTATTGTCTGTTAGCTCTGTGCGGCCGTTGCAATGAATTCTCGAACCCAGTAGAGAAGTAGAGAGTGCCGTGGGAGGGACGGTTGGTGTCAGAATTAGTAAAGGTGGCATAGAGAGGAGGCATGTCTGACTTCCCCTCATAGGAATCAGCCTTGGGCCGTGGATCTTGATTCTCCTTCCTCCTTGTGAAGTTAGAGGAGGTCAGACACCGTCCCACACCATTTTTACACCTACTCTCCTGATTTAGCTCTTCAGGAAGAACAGCTGTTACTGGAGCATCTTCGCACCACGCCCACCCCATCCCCCCCCCCCCCCGCCAGGCTTTTCTCCGGCAATCACAATGGCTGCATCACTCTTTTGGTGTGTGTGTTGAAGTGGGGCAGGAGTGTGATTTCCAGGCAAGACATTTGGGATCAGGGTTTTTGGCAGAAAAGCCGCCATGATCTTAGTAAACAGTTGGCACAACTAAAATGACAATCACTGACCCCTCCCAGGTGCAGAGCACGGGACGGTGACAGTGATGAAGCCCTTTGCCTTCAATAGCTCACAGTCTAGTCAGAGAGAGGTACATAATAAACTAACTACAGTACAAGGCTGAATGAAATTAGTCTATCTTAAATAGCTGTTGTCAGAGTGGTCAGTTCTGGGGAGGTGTCTGAGAAGCCTGCACAGGAAAGGTGGTATGTGAGCTGAGCCTTGAAGGACGAGTGGAAGAGAAGGGCCATTCCAGCCTGAGGAGACAGCATGAGAAGAGAGATGAGCTAGGAGCACGCAGGGTTTGTCCATGCAATCAGGACTTGTCTGGTGAGGATGGAGAAGGCTGCAGGAAGGGTGCAGGGGAGGGGAGGCAGGAGGGCAGGCTACAGCCTGATCACAAAAGACCTCAGATGCTCGGCCATTCCCACCTGGTCTTTTTGTTGGAGACAATGGTGAGAAAGAGAAACACATAGTCAGGTGGTTTCCCAACACTCACCTGCTTGAAAACACCCCACACTTTTGCCCAGTGTCAGAAGTTGAGACTAACGCAGGTCTTTTTGTAACAACACCCCCAGCAGAGACCAAGCCCTTATCATTCTTCTTGCAAGATTTCAGGTTTCATTTTATCTTTACATCTTAGACGCAAAATGAATCAGTCCTGGGAGGGACCTCAAAGGTCTCTAAAGCCCAGGGAGAGGAACAGATGTGTCCAAGCTCACCAAGAGTGAAAGATTGCAAACTCCACGAGGGCAGAAGCTGCATCTCTGTCTCTGCTATATTCCCAGCACGTGGCTCAGGCCCTAGCACACAGCCGGTACTTAGTAACTATTTGTTGAATGAATAAACGAATGAGCCATCACACTCATGCAATTCTTTTTTGCCAAACCTCAGCAAGAGAAACCCTACCTTTAAAAGTTCACGTGGATAAGATTAAAGGTTAGTTGCTGGTTAACCAACTGCCCCTGTCTGTTCCAGAAACTGTTCCTTAACAGCCACCCTGATTCAGGGTGGAGAAGGGAAAACCAGCATAGGCTCTGGGGAAAGAGAGTGTCGTGAAAGACACTGGGGCTCATGTCTTCAAGGTGGACAGCATAGACCCAGCAGATGCCTTCTGGCTGAAGATGCAGTCTTCCCATCTGGAGCCTCCTTAACAACATGCTGTTTTACTACCCTGGGCAGCTTACAAGTACCTTCGTGTGCATGTCCTGTCTGAGCTACACTGCAGCCCCATTTTTCAAGGAAGAATTGAGTCTCAGAGAGGCCAAGAAACTTGCTCAATATCACACAGCTAGTTAGTACTAAAGTTGGGAGGCAAAGCTGGGTTTTTGACTCATGCATCTGATATTCATGAGTGACTCATATTGGCAGGACTTGCTGTATGAGGTGCTGGAAGGGAGAAGACAGAGTCTTGCCTTCAAGGTGTACAACAACATGAAGGGATGGGCGAAGGGCTGTGGGAGCACAAGAAGGGGGCAGATAACTCTGCATGGGGCAGGAGGGAGAAGAAAGGAGGGGACATGGAGCTGGGCTCTGAAGAATGAGCAGCAACGCCTCCACTGGGTGGAAGGGACATGCCTAAAAAGGGAACTTTCTGGGCAAAAATGTAGAACTGGGAAAAGACATGTTTATTCAGGAAAGGGTGAGCCTTTTGGTCCCTGCAGATGGTTGCTGCAATTAAACAAGAGGAATGAGAAAAAAAATCCAGCCCCGAAGAAAGAAAGATGGAGCTCCAAAACTGTCACAGGACACTGGCCTCCCTATCAGTACAGGAGGGAAGAGAGAGAGGAGGTGGGGGATTATATCCTCCGAATGATAATAGTTCACACTCAGCTCCTATTTCTTCTTCAGACCAGGGACTGCTTTCCTGTCCTAACAAGACTGCTGTGCCTTGGGGAGATTTGGGTTTCCTCCTGTGAATGCCTGACACTGCCCTTTCTCAAGAAGGCAGTGAGACCAGCTCGGAACAGCGAAGGAAGCTACCTGAGAGAAAACGGCAACCTCTTCCCACTCCTCTGGCTATAAAGTTGTCAGTGACTAACAATAACTCTGCCAGGTTAGAATCTAATTCTTCCTTCATGTGTGGCGTCATTATCAATGACATTTGCTGCTGTAGTCCCAGCACTTAAAACATATCTAGCACACAATGAGTACTCAAGAAATATTCAGTAAATGAATTGAATCTGAAATACTATGGGCATAATTCAATCATCTGGAGTCATAATCTAGAAAAGATGCTTCCTTTTAACAGCTAAGAACTCTTTAGATTCCAAAGGAGCATATCAGACTGGAGCCCCACTCTATTGTCTCCTCAGAGCCCACCCTCAGGAGAACAGTGAGGAGCCTAGGGGACTGGAACGTGTGACATCCTCTCCTAAACTACATCACTAGAACTGCAGAGCTGAGAGGGCCAGCTTACAGACCTGAAGTCCAACTGTCTCACTACACGGATGGTGAAACTAAATTCCAGAGACGGGGGTGACCTGCCCCAGGTCACAAGTACAGGTTGCTTGACCTCTGGGCCAGCCAGAGCTTTTTGCAAAATCTGTGTGGTCCAGATGGAAAAGGAGGGAGAATGATGGACAGAGCAAACCAGACGGTTGTTAGGGAGTATATCCTGCTGGGGTTATCTGAGCACCATAACCTAGAGATGGTCCTGTTTGTGCTTTGCATGGGCATCTACTGTGTGAATGTGATGGGGAACTCCCTCCTCATAGTGCTGAACATGCTGGACCCCCGCCTGCACAACCCCATGTACTTTTTCCTCAGCAACCTCTCCCTCATGGACATTCTTGGTACATCCTCCTTTGTGCCACTCATGCTGGTCAACTTCCTGGAAGCCCAAAAGACCATCTCCTTCCCTGGCTGTGCCCTACAAACGTACCTGACCCTGGCGCTGGGCTCCACAGAGTGCCTGCTCCTGGCCATGATGGCATATGACCGTTATGTAGCTATCTGCCAGCCACTTAGGTATCCCGAGCTCTTGAGTGGGCAGATGTGCGTGCGGATGGCCCTGCTGAGCTGGGGGATAGGCTTCACCAACTCACTGCTGCACTCCATCCTGGCCTGGCACCTCCCCTTCTGTGGCCACAATGTCATTAACCACTTCTTCTGTGAGATCCTGGCAGTGATAAAACTGGCCTGTGGGGACGTGTCCCTCAATGCACTGGCATTAATGGTGGCCGCAACTGTCCTGACACTGGCCCCATTCCTGCTTATCTTTCTATCCTACATTTTCATCCTTGCTGCCATCCTTAGGCTACCTTCTGCTGTAGGCCAGTGCAAGGCTTTTTCCACCTGCTCTGCTCACCTCACAGTGGTGGTGATTTTCTATGGAACTATCTCCTTCATGTACTTCAAGCCCAAGGCCAAGGACCCTGACTTGGATAAGATTATTGCATTGTTCTATGGGGTCGTGACACCCTCACTGAACCCTATCATCTACAGCCTGAGGAACACAGAGGTGAAAGCCGCTGCAGTAGCTCTGCTGGGGGGAGATGGGCTATCCAGGAAAATGTCTCACTTTTACTGCTGCACTCCATCTTTGTCAGGATAGGCTAGGTTATGCTGTGGTAATGACCTCAACATTTCAGTGGCTTAAAACCATAGGATTTATTTCTCATTAGTGGACAGATGGGCGTTCTGCTCTGCATCACCACCTTCAGATGCCTCTGGGAGTCAGGATGATAAAGCAGCTACCATCTGGAACATTGCAGGTCACCATGACAAAAGGAAAAGAGAAAGTGACAAAGCATGCACTGACAAAGTTTCGACTCGGAAGTGACATCTTACTTCCACTCATGTTTTATCAGTCAACACAAGTCACATACCACATCTAACATCAAGGAAGAAGCAAAGCTTATCTACCATGTGTCTGGAAGGAGAGAGAAGACTGAGATATTTGTGAATAGACTAATGATTACCATACTATCCTAGTCAACCCAAGAGCTAATAGAGATTTGGCTTCCTTTTGCCTGACCACCCATCCTTCATACTGAGTGAAAGGTTACTTATCTTGTGGTAGCTTTGTACTGTGTCAACCTAACCAGGTTGGAACTACATTTCCCAAAATTCTTTTCCCTGTATGGTTCAGAGTTAGGACTGACCACAAGAGACATTTGCGTGAGATTTGAGAGGCAAAAGTGAAGCAGCAATTATTTTTTATGCTCAGGTCAGCGTAGGACACCAGACATTGTGGAAACACACACATCTTGTCACTGATCTACTGGCTCGCCTTGTTAACATGGGGCAGAAGCTGGGCCCTCAGCTCCTCTAGTTCTCACCAGATTTCTTCCTTCAGCTGTCCTGAATCCTGGGCCAAGTAGAGCTCTGTCATGGATTGAATTGGGTCCCCCAAAAATATGTGTATCAATTTGGCTAGGCCATGATTCCCAATATTGTCCACCATTTTGTCATCTGATGTGATTTTCCTATGTGTTGTAAATCCTATCTCTATGATGTTAATGAGATAGAATTAGTGGCAGTTATGTTAATGACGCAGGACAAAATCTACAAGATTAGATTATGGCTTAAACCAATCTCTCTTGTGATATAAAAGAGAGAAGCGAGTAGAGAGACATGGGGACCTCATACCACCAAGAAACAAGAGCCAGGAGTTCCTGCCCTGAGAAGCTCCTAATCCAGGGGAAGATTGATGACAAGGCTCTTCCTCCAGAGCCAACAAACAGAGAAAGCCTTCCCCTGGAGCTGGCACCCTGAATTCGGACTTCTAGCCTCCTAGACTGTGAGAGAATAAACTTCTGTTTGATAAAGTCATCCACTTGTGGTATTTCTGTTATAGCAGCACTAGATAACTAAGACAAGCTCCATGGTGAAGAGCACCAACTTCTTCTGTAGGTCCCCCATGTCATTGAGATTGAAGGCAGTGAGAGGCAGACACAAGTTCCAGTTTGTCCTCATGGGTCCTAGTTTGTCCTCACTCTCCCTCACTGCACACCCAGCTGACCTATAGTAGGTTCAACACCAAATGCAGAGGTAACAGTTTTGCACAGACTTCTTCAACTACTCCCCCAACTGTATAAAGTCTACTCTCTATAATAAATCCCTTATGTCACTCAGAGTGGTTCTGCTGCTTTGATAAACTCCAACTAACTCAACATTCTTCAGATCAAGAATGTTTGATGGTTTCCCATTACTACAGCATTAAGTCCAAATTCTTCAGCTGAGTCCTCAAGGCGCTCCAGAATCTGGCCCACCAGCTTCTGCAGCCTTGTTTTCCACTAGCCCCATTCATATGGGCCGTTCCCCCCTACATTATCTATACTGTCCTATCTCCACATCTGCTCGTGCTGTTCTATGATAATACCTTGAACTAATTTTAAAAGCCAGGTTAGATACCACCTCTTTCATGCATTCTTTCCTGATGCATTTGAAATTATTCTCTTTCCTTTACATTCTACAGCACTTTATTAGAATCTTTCACTTTGTAACCATCCCAATCTGCCTTACATTAGTTATATTTCACAACGTCAGCTCCTTGAGGGCAGCATTCAACCAGGTCTGGCTCATCTCTATAGCTCCCATACAGCCTTTCCTATAGAAGATTTGCTGAACTGAATTCTCACTCAGAAGCCCTCACAAAGTCACCTTCTGGGGATTGAGCCCTATGTTACTGTAATTGCTCCAAGCACCTGTAGGTGGTCAAGGGTCCTAGTCTGGCTACGTGTGCAGACACACATGAGGGTCCAGCAATATCTGCTGACCACAGCCCTGTATTCAAGGAAGGCAGGTATTGTTTGGATCTTGTGCTCTCTCCCACTGAAACAAATCAGAAAACAACCAAAGAGAATGGGGTTCCAAGCCTGGTTCAGCAGCTATACCCAGAGCTGTCTTATTGCTGGTCCCCCGCCCCACAGGAATCCCCTAGGTACTTCAAACTCAAAATGTCCAACATTGAACTCATCACACACATCCCCCCTGAAAGCCATATCACCATCTCAGTGAATAGCACCACCAGCCCTGAGTCACCAAGCCAGAAACATGGTGGTCATCACAGACTTCCTGTTATCCCTCACCACCCTACACATCCAATCAGTCACTAAGTCCTATAGAGTCCACCTCCTACTAGCTCTTAATTCAGGCACATCCTTTTCATTGCCACTGCATTAAAAAGCATTTACTATCTCTCTCTCGAATATTCCAACAGCTGTGTCACTGTACTGCTCTCCTCCAAACTCTCTCCAAAGTCCATCCTTCACACTGGCCATCAAAACAGCAATTTAAGCTACTCTCCAGTTTAAATTCCTGCTTATTTCCTGCAGGATAAAAACCAGACATGCTCCTTTTTTGTCCAACCTCATCACTGGCTCATCACACACACACACACAGACACACAAACACACACACACACACACACACACATGCTCCAGACCCAGGCACGCTGAACTATTCAGAGTTCCCTGAAAAATATCAGTCTTTTCTGCCTCTGTGTCTTTCCCTTCTTGTTCCCTCTCCATGTCCAAACACTTCTGCCCTTTAACAAATGTATATTGAACACTTACCATGTGCCAGGCGAGACACTGTTCTAAGTGCTTTACTCACTGGGGACCAAATGGAATGATGGAAATCTCAAGGGTCAATACAGTATGGACATGGTGACCAGAGAAAACACTCCCCCAACATCTTGGCATTATGTAAGCTCATTTTATTCTCACTCAGACCCCCTCTTCCAGGAAGACCCTTCTGATCCCCCTAGCTGGGTGTGATCTGTCCCAGCTCCATCTCCTTCCTTCTATATTCCGCAGACTCTCTCCCGAACCCCACCTAGTTGGGTTCATGTGTCCTGTGACCTGGCTCTGTACATGTTAGTGTAATGAAATATTTCTTACATAGGAATAGTTGATTTTTTTTTTTCTTAGACAGTTTTTTCTGATATACGGACACATAGCCCATACCCCTTTGTTCCTTCTCACCATTCATCCAATCATTCTCTACTCAGTTCCCCAAGGAAGGAATGTGAATGCAGAAAGCAGAGAACAAAGGAATCTTTTCCTGGCTTTTGGGCTTCAAAAGCCTAGGCCCAGAAGGGAATCCAAAAGACTTAAGGAGTAGACAAAAGATTTCAGAGAAAACATGGAAAAGTAAGGTTTCCCCACCTCCAGATTAACAAAAGATTCCCTGAGCTAGGGGGAAGGAAGAGGAGAAGGGGAAATAATGAGAGCATTGGCACAGGAGGGTCCCAAAAGGGAGGGGCCCTGAGCTGCACTCTCCAGGCCAAGTCCTGAGAAGGTGGCAAGCCTCTGTGCAGATCTGAAGAAGTTAAAAGACGGAGCAACTTGTGCCTTGTTGGTCAACTAAAACCCAGGGAGGCAGCAGGATCCCCAAATAGAAATGGCTTCAAGGTGTTTCTGGGTAGCCAAGGCCTTGGACAACCTCAAACATCTTCCCATGTGACACAGAAGTAGCAGAGAGAGCCTCAGGACTAAAAAAGGTTATGCCAATGGGAATAAGAAACTTTTCTGGGATGACCTGTCTGGGCCAATGACTGGGGACCAGGTGGCAAGATGGAAATCTCAAGGGATGGATGCAGCATGGACACTGGGACCAGAGAGAACACTCTCCACATCCTGGCATTACATAAGGCCCTCAGAACTCAGCTATGACCCGGTGGAAAGAAAAGAGATACAAAATTGACAAAAGATTAAGTTTCTGGCACTCAAACAAAGTAGGGGCTCCTAACAGAAGTTACATTCTTGTGATATTTCTTACAGGTCAGAGAGTCATACCTGCTCCACCAGGTACCTAGACTTCCTTCCCTGTTGGGAGTGAGTTTCATGAGGGAGGTCTGTCATACTGATCTAAGTCTTTTCAGCCACCCCCCTCCCCACCCCC